GGGCAGGGGGGAGAGGGGAGAGGGGAGGGCAGGTCGAGTGGTCTTTGTTCCCTCGTGGGATGACACGTTGCGAGGGCTTGCATCGCGATCGCGGATATATACACCTGTACGTAGATGTGTTGGATGTGTATGTATATATATATATATATACACGTCGTGCACGCGCGACGAGGAGGAGAAGGGGGAGGAGGAGGAGGAGGAGGGGAGGAAGTTTCCTCGCGGCTTTTTTTGCGCCTTGAGAAAGTTCGTTTGGCGTGTTGCCTGACTCGTTTCTAACCAACTTGCCTTTTCTTCGAATCGAGGAGGAATTCGGGAGAGGATTCGAAAGATTGCGTAAACGAGGAAATTGTTGGGTTTGGAAGGTCATTTCCAGGGGAATCGTGGATTTTTCACGATTTATTTATTTGTTTGTTCCAGGTGTATCTATCTAAGATAAATGGAATGGAAGAAGGGGAAATTGTTTTAATGAAGATATCACTGAGATGAGAGATTAGAATGAGAGCGTTGGAAGATTGTTATTTACATGATTTTTTTAAAAATTAATAATCTAGGTAAAATATGCAGAGAACGGAGGTAAGAAAGTTCGCGCAAATGAAGAAGAAGAAGAAAGGAATAGTCGAAAGATACTTTTTGTAATGTGTGCATTTAAACGTGGATTGCCTGGATTTACAAAATATTTAGAATGGAAAAACTAGGAAGAGGTGATAAAGCGATGGGCGTTGTAGTGGAAATGGAAGAGCTGAGAGTGTGACCATGTTGAAAATAATACAGATGTTGTGCGGAGGTCGTATTTTGACTTTTAAAGGTCAGAGCTGAAATAGGTTGTGCGTGTTATCACATGGTCAGGTATGTTTCCTTTGAAAGTTATTGTTGGAAGAATGAATTTACAGGTGCTCGAGATAGCTTCTGGGAGATTTAATGCAGGCGTGCATGAAATCACGTTATGAATTCGTGAATTTATTTTCAGATCGGATACGTGTTCCGAGTTATTATCACAAAACATCGTAATTTCGCAAGATTTTTTTTAAAATTCCATCGGTGTGAAATTATTTTAGAAAACAAGGTATTTTAATAAACGCGTTCCCGTTAATATTAATAGCAGGAGAGAATCTAAAATTAGCGACACGAGAAATGCGAAGAATCGACCAAGTTCGATAATTCTCCAATCTTTCTTAAGAAAAAAGAAAAAAAAAAAAAAAAAATTATCATAAAACGATTCGTTTAGAAACGATCAGTAAAAAGTTAATCCAACATTTTATAAGATATTGAATGTGATTCGAAATTAAATCTTCCATATTTTCTCTCGTAAAGAGAATCCATGAGAGATTCGCGAAAAAACTTGATGGAAGAAAGACTCTCTGTTCTTATGGAGTCGAAACTTCCTTGGATTCCGACAATCATTTACCTTCAAAGAACAATTTGCGAGTGTAACAATTTTCATATCGCGAAAAACAAATTATCCATTACGATATTAAAGCAAAATAAATCTTCTCTTTTTCCTTCGTTGCACATCCTCCTCTTAAATCACAAACAAACATTCAAAATCTTGCTTCGTCACCGCCATGTCGTGATCACATTAACGACCTGAATCCTAAATTCTTCCAGTCCCTCCAACATTCCCCTCTCCAAAAAAAAAAAAAAAAAGAAATCGAAACGAAGCCAATCGAATTCGCGGGAGGAAGCGGGTTAAAGAGAGGGAAAAAAAGGCGGTCGATCGAACGGCGGGTGAATTTCTCTCTCTCGTACGTACACGCCGTGAGCCTCGAGAGGGGGAGGGAGGCGGGTGGGTGTCGCTGCCCCTCGATGGGAGTCGAATCGAAAGCGGAAGATCGCACTTTCACCGGAAAGTTTCGAGCTTTTTTATGCGCGGCGCCGCGTGTCCCGAAGTTTTCCGCCCCCGCGGCAAACTGTTGCTTAGATCGTTATCGCGTGTACGATAAGCCTCCTCGCCCCCCGATCGGGGGAGGAATTAGAAACAATCTCGTCCCCTTCCTTCCTTCCTTCCTTCCTTCCTTCCTTTTTTCGATTCGTCGGTCAACGAGCGGCTCCGTTTAAAAAGGGTGCACCGCAAGGTTTAATCTGATTATGGATGGATACAGGGTGATTCAGAAACGTGCGTCTCTGAGAGAACGTAGGAATTTCGTTTGGGGAAAGGATGATCAATTTGAATGTTTAGATGATCTTTATAAAAGTATCTTTCGAGAGTTTTTAAGAAATTGTATACGATTAAATATATATTTCTGTCGAGCAAGTAGCGTTAGATAGTTCAAGGATTGATTTCACTTTCATTCTAAAGAATTTGTTAAGACAAATTGCTTTACACACGTTTTTCATATAAAAGCGGAAATTAAAATCCAACGAGAAATATAAAATATCTCTTTGATAAATTCGCATGTATTTTCTGAGTCATCCTGTATAAATATATATATATATATATATAGGGGGATCCTTCGTTGGTACGAAATATGAACTCTGGCTAATAAAACCGTGGACGCTCTTTTTAGAGTGATTCGGACAATCCCGATGCGAAACTGTCGGCCGATGTAACGCGTAAAAAAAGAGGGGGAGTAAATCGGAGCGATTGGTTTTCATTCGTCGAAAATGAAACGAAACGTGCGATAATTGGTTTTAGGTTAGGTAGGTGTGGCGGATTTTTACTTTACCTTTCGTCAACTGGAGGGATTAAAAAGTAACGGTAAAACTTCAAGTGTCAATTCTTGATGCGGGTACGTCAAAGAGATTATAGATAATGGAAGATGGTCCCGACCTGTAGGGTGTAGAGACGTCAGGTGATATGTTGACAGGGAATATCAAGTTTCTATTGAACCCTCGCTCACTCGTTCCATTTCGTCCGTATTATTTCACAATAGTTGCGATGAAGTAAAGTTTCCTACTTTCTTCTTTTGCGAAAACTATGCTACGTTTGTCGAACTGTTCATGTGATCGATGCTAATTGCAATGTACTGGCAAATAAATATCGTGATATCGTGGCTTGGAAAGGAGAAGCTTAATTAGGAAATTAAATCACGTTTCCTATAAATTATTATTACGATTTGAAAATATCGTTTATGTTTGTATGTCGAAACATATAAGACAAAAACTGTAAATTTAGGGAAAAAATCAAAACAATTGTATTTGTAACTTCTCCACTTAAAGTAACCTTAATATTTAATGTTATGTTTGAGAAAGACTATTTTCATATTGACATACATTAATATCGCACTCGATACTATAAGTAAAACTAAAATTAAAATCCTCTCCAAGAATTCCATCGGTATAAAGTATAAGCAAGAACGAGTTTCTTTACACGAATAATTCAAAAAACTTCAAGCTATATATATATATATATATATATATATGTATGTGTGTGTGTATATATACCTCGTATACATTGTAGCCAATAGACGGAATAGTTCAGATTGTTCTTTCTCGTAATGCGAAGAAGCGCGTATTTCTGCTCGAGACTTCATTCAGTCAGAGCCACCGTGAACAAAGTGACCGTTGTAAAAACCGATACTACCTGGTGCCCGGTAGAGTGAAAGCAGGACACCCCCGTAGAACGTATTCTCCCTTATCAAGCCCGCAGGTGGTCGAGGCATAGGCCGTTAGCTCGTCCGGCTAATAACTCGAAAGACGGGCCATTAAAGAGCCGTGGTGGAACACGCACTCGAGACTCGCCTCTCGTGGATGACTCGTCATCATCAAGCGGCGTGCGTGTAGGTCGCGGTGCGCACACACGCTGGTATATATGATATATATATATATATACGTAGTGGAGCCTCGCGCAACGATATCGCACACACGGTCCGTGGCTCGAGCAGTGGGTACGAGAGATAGAGAGAGAGAGAGAGAGAGAAAGAGATAGAGTGAGAGTGACGGGTATAGAAGGGAAAGAGGGCAGTGGACAGAGATGGGCGTAGAGATAGACGGCTAGCAACGGAGAGCGCGGATCGTCCGTCCACACGTATCCCATACAGCTACGGACGTGTTCATAGAGAGAAAGAGAAAGATAGATAGATAGATAGATAGAGAGAGAGAGAGGTGAGCAGTGGCGTGCACATACCCTCCTAAGCACAAGCCTAACACACCCGTGGAAGCCCCTTCGGCCGATGAGTGCCGGCGCCCCTTGCCCCCTCGCAGCGCAACACTCCTCTGCCTGTGTCCCCCTTCACCCCAACACCCATCAGCCAAAGGTACTCTCTCGCGCTCTTCCCCCGGCCCCCCCTCGCCACGAAAGCCCTGTGGATGCCGGTGTGCGGCCCCTTGCGCCTCTTTCGATCCCTCCTTTCCCTCGGAGAGTTACCCGTCCACCGGCCCCTTCGGTGTTCTGATGGTGACAGACCCTACCTTACCGCCTCCGCTCTGCCACCGCCGCCGCGGGCCGGGGAGGGTCGAGGCGAACCGGCGAGGGCGCTGGAACGGTGGAAAAGGAAGACGGACAGTTGGCTGAACCGAGAGATAGCGGCAGATGGAGTGAGGGAGAAAGAGAGAGGGAGAGGGAGATAGGATGAGGTATCAGGGAACCGTAGGTGCGGGAGAGAGACGGGGATAGAGACCAGAAAGGAACACCAGGGGTGAAGGAGAGAGGGTTGACGCGTTCGAGGAGGACCGTTGGGGAGTGAGAGCGGTACGGGTCATAGCAGGGCGCGGCATGAGGGAAAGACAGAGACGGGACGAGGGAATGGGTAAAGGGGCTGGGGTACGGGGGAGAGAGGGGGGGGTGTGGCAGAGAGCGGGCGAGAGAGAGAGAAAGCGTGTGCCGGCGCGTAATAGGGAAAGAGAGGGAAAGGGAGAGTGGGGTATGGGTGAAACGTAGAGTGAGGTTGGCGTGGTTGGGATGAGGAGACGTGGGGGAGTTGCGAGGAACAGGGGAGCGGTGCGGAGGCGGTGAGGAGAGTAGTGGAAAGGATGAGGTAGGTAAGGGGAGGGGGGTCGCCGCCGCGTCGCCAGTCGCCAGTTTGCCGTGAGCGCTCGTGATGCGAGGACGTTCTATGATTTCGTCTAGGAGCGTGGCGCTCTATTACCACTCACACTAGAAACGGGGGAACGACACGTTCCTTTTTTTCACATAATTCGCGTTCCCTGCTCGGTATACGATAGACCGAGTCGGTCGAATCGAGTGGAAATTGGCGATAAACGAGAAAGAAGGAACACGATCGACGCCACAGTGTGTCTCAACGACCATTTGCGACAGTTCAAACTCGCGGCGTGCGCGGGCATTCGACGTGCACACGAGGAACACGAGCGTACCTCACGAGAGAAAGAGCGCGACATTTTTCCTCTTGTTTACTTGTGTGTTGCGGACAGTACGTCCTTGGTGTATTCGCGGGCATACCGTTCCCAACTGTGTAACGTTTTACCGAGACTGGAAGACACTGATTACCGTGCTCGCTCGCAGGCGACCATTTTATTTCGAAAGTTTACGGTGGCGTTGCCTGTTACATCTGTGCGTCCTTGTCCCTGCGTGATGTACGAACCTTTCGATCGACCAGCTGATCGCGATTCCGGCAGTGTTGTATCGGCTCGATGGACTTTATAGAGGTAACTCGTCCGTTGAGTATCGTGTACGTGAGCGGAAGGTCGAATCGTTCGACTACGAGACAGTTTTCGTGCGGGTACCCGGCCCTTTTTTCACTCGCACCCGTCTACGTCGACACCTGCGGTAACCGCGGGAATTTTATCACGGCGGTTCGCGGCGCCGCTGCGTGGTGTTGTGCGCGAGCTTAAGGTTCGCGGATTGTGCGCGGGACAAAGACAGAGCGCGTTGTTGTGTGTACGAGTCCAACTAAAAAGAGACGGTGTGCGAGTGTCGGAAAGAGGCAGAACTAAAACCGAGAACTCTGAGAAAGTTTGTGAGTAAAACGTGCCTCCGAGACGTATTTACAACATCTCTCTCGCAAAATACGTTCTCTCTTTCTTTGTACAACGTATACGTGTATGTACAATTCGTGTTATCGTTTCGCGGTTGAACCAACGACAAGGACAGCTGCGGGGATCGAGTAAAAGAAGTGAAACGAATAAAAGAACATCGAACTTCGCTTTTGTTTCGCGAGATTATTCGTGCTTTCGGGGGTGCGAGTAGAGTGACGCCAATCAAAAGGAAAAACCTATAAGCCAATAGCACGAGCGAGACAGGGAACAACTGCGGAATAGGGACGGGACGGAAAAGAGACAGAAACACGGTCGCCGCTCCACGAGGAAAAGAAAGACACGCACGTCGGGACTGAATATGTCCGCCAAGCGAAAGGCCACTGCCATCATGCAGCATCACAAGGTGAGTCGACCGATCGTCACCGTATCGCCACGTGATCGAACTTTTTCCGCGACGAGGGTCTGTAATGCAATTCTCGACGTTGCGCCGAGATATAGCAAAAAGTTGTTGCGAGTCAAAGTTTAACTCACGGACTATAACGGCTCGAGGTTCAAGGTTGTCATTTTCTTTTCTTCCACTCGCGTCGTGTCGTTGCGTGTATAGTATAACTGTGTCGGGCGAGCGCGACGCTTGTACTTTTAAATCGCGATACGATAAAGAGAGAAATATCATAAAGTGGACGAACGAGAAATGTTCGTAATGTGAACGAGGCGAGAGGGGAAAGGAGAGATATGCCTGTGTTGGAAAATTGGAGTTTTCTGCCGCCAGGTCGCGTTCGTTTCTCGTGCAACTCATTATTCCGTTGCACTCTAATTTTTTCTCTCTCCATGTTTTTTGGAGTGGCGGACGAGCCAGTCGAAACCGGGAGTGGGGGAAAGATGAACCGCGCGCGAAAGTTTTAATTGAAAGAGTTACACGAATTTTCGTCGGAGGGGGACGCGCGCGCAGGAAAGTTGCGAGGGTAACACTTAACGCGTATTGACTCATTAACCGTTGCCTGCGTCGTTATTTCCGATTTTTGTTTTTCGAACTGTTAGAACCTTTATACACATCCGTATACTGCTCTAATTTTATTTTTCTATTCCTTTTTTTATTCTTTTATAAAATATTGGAATACTTCGTATCAATGAGATAGTTGTTGCTAATGAAACGTAAACTTAATGATCAATTTTATTGCACGTAGTTCAATAGATAATTTGTATGGTTCTTTCCTTTATTTGATATTATTGCTTTGTATATATATATATATATATATATATATATATATATATTTAATAAATATTTGTTAAAAATATATATATATATATATTTAATAAATATTTGTTAAAAAATGAAAGCAACAATATCTATTTGTAATTTTTGCAGTATTTTTAAAGAAAAAATTCTTGTTTTCGTGATAAATTATTATAACAATAAGTTGGTGTAACAAATAAATTATACAAGATATTTATAAAATATATAAATTAATAAACTATTAAATTATTGTAATTTCTTTCATTGTATAAAAGATTAAATCAAATTTTGGAATTACGTAAAAGCTACTGTTTGCTGCAAGTTCACCATATTACCAATAATTTTACGTGAATCGAGTCATAAATTAACGTAATTTTAATTACTTTGTGTAATTAATCCTTTGTACTTTGATTACATTTACGTTTCACTTGGTACTACTAAGTTTCTCTTATGTAACTGTATATACATTACAATGAACTACACAGAGAAATATTGAAAATTTTTACCAAATATAAAATATTTTAGCAATAAAATTCTTCTTATTTTTTTTTTTTTTAATAATCTTAATTAATAAATTTTCTTTATTTCTGATTTCTTAAATATTTCAAAATTTTATCAAGATATTTATTTTTCACGAATACGAAGCATTAAAATAACATAAATTTCGTCTTTGCATTTTTCTCAGTGTACTATAGATTAGGGAAACGTCGCAAAATAACGGGTATTCACTTGACGACACGCGAATCGCAGAAATCGACGATACCCGATGACGAACTTGTTGGATCATACTTATCTCGGGACTTTTTCTTTTTCTCGGCCAGATTAGGTCTGTATATCTTCTGCACGAAAGATAATCCATGGATCGCGTTTCCAAGGAGTTCGATCAAGCACGTGCTCTATTGAAGAATCTCCGTGACCAGTCGCATCGATGTAAAATTTCTGCGTCTCATTCAACTACGTGTTATTTAACCCTTTGAATGTCCTAAAAAAAGATCTTCCATTTTTATAACTCAAATTCGTAATTGTGTTCGTAAATAACACAATAATTTATGGAATATTTATTTATCATGCATGTTATATCTTTCAATTATAGTTTCTTTAAAATAATATTTTTATAGAGAGGGTTAAAAAAAAAAATAGAAAATGAAATAAGTTAATTTTTAAAAAAGGACAAATGGAATATTTTAGAATGGGATCCATTGTGTTTTAAAAATTATTTTTTTTATTTTTTTTCAAATAGAATATAATTTTTTTTCTATACAGAGAAAATATGATTCTAAATCTTTTTCATTATCTTTATAATGATACATCTAAATGATTAAATTATAAATTATAACATTTTTTTCTTTTTCTGGTAGTTGTAATCAGTATAATAGAATTTAGAATAGGGAATGAAATAAAATAAGATAAAGTGTAGTATACACAAAAAATAAAAATAACAAGTTAATTAAAATTAAATGATGTTTAAAAGGCAATTAATAATTTTTCTAGCATCTTGCATAGGCATTAGATGCAAAGATAAATTATTATTAGATAAAAATTAAAAATCTCTTCTTTTTGAATAAAATATACATATATTTCTCAATTTATCATCTCATTTTCACATTAAATTATATTATAATTAAAACATTATATTCTACTATTTATCGAAATGATAATATCTCGGTTATTTTTATAACATATTATCTATACAAAATCAAAAAAGTCAAGAAATTCTTGAGAATATTTGGCGATATTCATTGATTACCATACAAATATACAAAGAAAAAAAAAAAAAATACGTTAATAGTATGAATTATTTGCAAATACATAATTCTAGTATAATTTTTGCTAATCGATTTAAGATATTCTAATTAAATTACGAATAGAAAATAATGATATTAGTCGCAATTCATTGAGAAACGTCGAATGAATATTATTTTCTAAAAATATAATATTTGAAATGATTGAAATGTGATATTTTATATAGTATGGTAATAAAATGAATCAAATTCATTTCGAATTCACTATTTACCCTTCGTATTAATCGTAATTCATGCTTTCTACGATTTCATTAATATTTCAAGTGTTTTAGGTTACGGACACGTTAAAAAGGGGTGTCGATCGTAACGGAATGTTATTTTATTATTGTATTTGCATATTTTCGATTCGTCCCCCGGATATCTATTCTAATTATTCGTGTCCCGGATAATTGACGCGGAAATGTAATTTTGTGGGTGGCGTGCAGATAGGGTGGCCGAAACATCATTAAAACCTCCGATTAATTGCATACGTTGCGGCCATAGGGTTTAGGGAAATGTTTTGAAAGAAACAGGGAAAACACGATTTCAAAATAAAAATATTGTTCTTCGGAAATGTATTTTTTTCAAATAGATACTTTCTCGTTGTTTCATAGTTTAATATTTATTTTTTATTATTATTAACTGTACACTTTGTTCGTTCGCCCTAAATTTGCGTTTAAAAATCTTTATATTATATGCATTGTTTCATTTTTCTTTTCTTTTCTTTCTTTTTTTTTTTTTTTTTTTTAATATCGAATTTCTCCAAATATAATGAAATATTTGGAAATCGCCAATTTATTTCTTCTTCTTCTTTCATATTTTTTTTTCATTTGTCAAAAGTATCATAAGTTTAATAATCGCCTCAAAAACATTTTCACGATATTATTCTTCCTTACTTTTTATTACTTCCATAACAAGCAAAAATAAAATTTATTATTCCTTTCGAAAAATCTTTCAAATTTTCTTAACGAAAAGAAGAAGAGGAAAAAAATAAAAGTTGTTTCCTCCCTGGAAAAATGAAATAAAATTCCGTGGAAAATTCGCAGACTCGCCGAATATATCCAACCCTCCTGAACTCCATTAGTCGATCGATCGATCCGGTTGCATAAATTAATCCGGTCGTATTTAGCTCCAAAAACCATACTCCATCCCTCGCAACGGTGTAACAATGATGATCGATTCGAAAAGTGTGCTCGTTTTGCCTTTGAATCTTTCGCGCGGCCGCTGCCGCCCTTTTGTCCATCGTTGAAACGGTGAAATTTCCAACAATTCGCCAGCCGGGAAATTTCGCTGGATAATTCAGAACAAAATCGAGACCCTCCTCCCCCCTCCCCCAACGTTTGCCGGGCGGAACAAATGTTTTGGTTTTGCGTTACAATTAGAATTAACAGCGTCGCCGGTTTATTCCGGGCGCCGCACCGCCTCTATTTTTATTTCCTTTTTCCGACCTCGGATAAGAGGCCGTGAAAGGGATTCGGTGCACTTGGCGATAAAATTTGTCGAGTAATTTAAAAATCGAGGATAAATTTTGGCTGATAAAAATGATTCGTTCGAAATTGTGTATTTTTTTTTTTAAATACGTTTCTTTTCTTTTCTTTTCTTTTTCTTTTGTCTTAATTGGTTTTAATTTGGAAGATTTGTGTATGGTAGCATGAGTCATGAATAACCTGGAGCCAGTTGGGCGAGAGTTAAGAAAAGAATAATTTATTTGATAAAAGTGGTAGTAATTTTAAAATTGTTTTCTTTCCGATGAATTCAGGGATCAGAGAAAGGAGCAAAAATGAATTTGAATTGTTAGCCGATCAATATTGAAATGATTTATCGTTAAAAAAAAATTTTATGTTTTAAAATAAAAAAGTGCAAAGCACGTGTAAAATTTTTATTTTATATAGGTTCTTTCAACTACACATAACTTTTATAATTATCAAAACTTAGAGAGATGAGGTGTATTTGCAGTTTCGAAAAGTTTCGAAAGTTTATTTCCGCTTTTACAGAGATGTAATGCTTACAAGGCATAAAAAGGCGTGATGAATCATACGAAGTCTAAAACAATTACAAAATTTTTTACTTTATCCAATATCCTTTGATAAAAGACAAACTTTTGCGCGTAATATATTTTATCATTTAAAAAAAGTCAAAGAAATCTACAAGCGAATGAAACATCGCTTTTCCCATCGCTCTCCTAATTCGTGCAAATTCCTCTTCTCCATCATCTCGATCCAAAGAAGACCAGCAAGAAAGACGAAGCAAAACAAAAAAAAAGAAAAAAGTGAAAGAAAAATGGCAAAAGGAAGGACAAATGGTCCCGGTTGAAGAATGATCACGACTCACGCCGATCGAACGCGATGCAACACATGATAAACGGTCGGTGAAGGCACGAGGGAACGG